AATTAAGAATTTGTTCCCACAGCTTTTGTTGTTGCCCACATTTTATTAATTCCATCCTTTATTTTAGTTAAATTGCGGTGGTGATATTCACAATTTAACTAACATGAGGGAACAAATTAATAAGACATGGGAACAAATGGCCATAATATCCTTTTTTTCACATGTCATGAGAAAGGAAAGCTTGGCATGCAAAGAAATCTAAGGTCTAAAGCATAATAAATTCCAATGTGTAATATCATACTTTTTACTCCATTAACTAGTTGCTTATTAGTATGCATATTGTCTGTTTTTTAGTACTTATATGCACATTTATTTTATTTATTTTTTATTTTATTTAGTCATTTAGCAGACGCAAAGAGTATTTCTTTACACTGTTTTCTGCTGGCGCTTGAACACACTTTCCTTATTTTTTACACAACAAATGGCCAAGCAAGCGCAGACACTGACAAGATACGCGATACAGAACGAGACCAAACGCGATATCAGCACGTCTCCACACAGTAAACAAAACTAAAACAACAAAACAAAAATCAAAACAAAACAAAAATAACATACATATTAATGCCTATTCTGTATGGCCATATTCTAGATCCCTTAACCCTACCCAATACCTAAACTTAACAACTATCTTACTAACTATTAATAACCGGCAAATTAGAACTTTATTGAGGGAAAACTCTTGGTTAATAGTGAATATGTTCTATGTTCCCTTTTCTAAAGTGTTACCCAAAAATGTATCATTTCTTGTTATTTTGAACCCAAGAATTCAACATCTACTCCTAGATGCAATAGTGATGCTTGATTTGTGAGCATTTCATATTTTGAAATACTCAATGTAATTTTTCAGTGTATTTTTTCACTTGAATTATCTTAAATGTTAGTATATTAAAGTTTAATGTTTTGATAGTGTGTGTGTGTGTGTGTGTGTGTGTTTTGGTAATAAAAGAAAATATTTGCTTACTTGCAGATCAATACATATTCAGTGTTTTCATCTACTAATTTATTGTAGGCTGAAGTATATAAAACTGCAAAATAAATAAACATGGTTTATCGATCAGCACTTTTTACTTTCAATACTTACTATGAGTACATTAAACATCTTTCTTCTACTCCAAAAAAAAAAGGAAAAGGAGTGCTAATATTATCATCTACCACTGGTCATTTAATCGCATAATTCTATAATTCTTAAAACATAGCAGTCCAATGTCCAATACCATTCTAACTAACGGATATTTTACAGGCGGTGCTCTCCTTGTGTGCCCTGTGACAGATCCTGAGGTCACAGAGGTCAAGGTTTTGCTCCCAGGGTCTGATGTGGTAAGCCTACGTTCCATATGAATTGTACAGAATACATTGTACTGAAGGTTAAAGTGCATTCATAAGAGATGTTTTGTTTATTTGAAAGCTGTGGTACGACACAAACACGGCAGCGGTACACAAGGGTGCCAGAACTCTGGATCTGCCAGTGACTCTGAACACTGTGAGTGACTCCCATTACATCTGTGATAAAGCAGTCAACAGAATACTAGTATTCTTACAGGGTTCCTTATGCTATATCCTCTGTGTTAGGTGCCTGTGTTCCAGCGTGGGGGGACAGTGGTGCCCAGGAGAGCAGGTTGTGGGTCCAGCACAGCGGACTTACAACAGCATCCATTCACTCTCACTGTGGCCCTGGACAGTAAGGTGACCACATGACAATACAACAGAAAGTACTGGGTGGTAACATAGTACAGGTCAGAGATGCAATCAGATTTTAATATCAATATATACCCTACCGTTCAAAAGTTTGGGGTTAGTAAGATTTTTAATACCGGGGCCAGTAAGAGAATTAATACTTTTTTTCTGCAAATATGCATTAAATAGATCAAAAGTGGCAGTCGAGAAATGTATGATGTTTAAAAAAAGATTTCTGTTTATCAATGAATACTGAAAAAAATGTATCATGGTTTCCTCTAAAATATTAAATAGCACAACTGTTTTCAACATTGATAATAATCATTTTTCAATGTTTCTTGGGCATCAAATCAGCATATTAGAATGATTTCTGAAGGCTCATGTGACACTGAAGACTGGAGTAATGATGCTGAAAATTCTGCTTTGCCATCATAGAAAAATAGATTTATTTTAAAATATGTTGGTTAGAGTTTAGTTACTTTTGCTTAAGGATAATTTACATGTACTATAGTAAGTACATGTAATATGTAACAAGAACACATAAAATTTTTAAAAAAAAGTCTTACCAGATTTTTGCTTTTTGCCCAGCCCCAAGACATAATATATATGATTCAGTTTGATTTCCATATTCATGTTGTTCAGTTTTTACATGGCACTCTAAAGCAGGGTTTCCCAAAGAAGTGTGTACTAGGTTCTCTTTATTTACATTTGCATTAGTGCTGTCAAACGATTAATCACGATTAATCGCATCTAAAATAAAAGTTTTTGTTTACATAATATATGTGTTTGTACTGTATACACACACATGCATGTATAAATTAAAAAAATATTTACATGTATTAACGTGTATATATTTGTATTAATATAAATTATATCATATATAAATATATTTAATATATAAACGTAACATATTTTTCTTAAATATATACATGCATGTGTGTGTATTTATATATACATAATAAATATACACAGTACACACACATATATTATGTAACAAAAACTTTTATTTTAGATGCGATTAATCGCGATTAATTTCATTTGACAGCACTAATTTACATACATTTTCAACATTTTTTTAAATATAAGTTTACAATATTTTACCAGTATTTTGCCAACATAAGCTCAAGGATTTGAAATGTTATTAACTTGAGGATTTTGAAACTGAAGAATTTGCGACATAAACGTTAGTGTTGTAACTTGTAGTGTAAAACATTTTTGTTATATCTATTATCAAATATTATTTTTTGCAATACAGTGGTAATTTACAACAGTAATATATTTCTGTCTTCATTTTTATAATTAGAGTTAATATAGCTAATAATAATAAATAAAAAAAATAAGTAAAATAAAAATTGAATTAAAAATGTAAGTATTCAAAAAAAGATCAATTTGTTTTAACTGTGTACTTGCAAATCACGTGACCATTAACTGTCACCAGAGAACTGTTAATATGCGAACATTAAATTTTGTTAAGTTTGGTAACTACTGCTCTAAATTATTTGAAATGATACATGTCCAGAAAACATAGTATTTCAGTGGTACATCTCAAAAGAATCATGGTTGGAAAGTTTTGTTAAGGGCTCATAGTCAGATCTTTAAGCCGTGCAATGATAAATGAGATTTGAACACACACACATACACATAATTATAGATTATTGATTTTGATCGTATGTTTTGCATTAAAGGGCAATGCTGATGGACTTCTTTATCTGGACGATGGCCACTCTTTTAGTTACAGAGACCAAATGCAGTTCTGTCTGCGCCGTTTTACCATGCGAGCTGGCAGGCTTGTCAACAGGTAATGAACCAACATTGCTTTTAATTTCCTTCAGTCAATCAATCAGTCTGTCTGTCTGTCCGTTCGTTCGTTCCTTGGGGGCTATTTACTAGGAATGGGAAATGTGATGGAAAAAAATGAGACATTGTATTAAAAAAAAGCAACAACCTTAGAACAGGTTATATTCCATTGTGTGTATTCAGAGAGCTCAATATGCCATTCTCCTTGTGCCATGTGTTTTCAGCTGTGCTGATGATCAAGGCTCGTTTGTCTCGGATGACAAAGTGGAATCAGTGGTCATTCTTGGTCTGAATAGCTTGAAAAGAAAACCCAAGCTCAAATCAGGTGTGAAGAGGCCAAAAGTTTCCTTCTGTGGTAACTATTAGTGGAATATTTCATACGTAAATAATGTGGTGTTAGATATAAACCAAAGAGTTGTTAGTCACTAAACCTTCTCTTTCTCTCTTGAAGGTGCGCCGAAGACAGCAGTCACATTTGAATTTGATGCAAAGCGAGGTGTGTTAACTTTAACTGGACTGGACCTAGAAATACACAAAGACTGGGAAATAGTAATTTAGTGGATGGTATTTTTTCAAATTACCAGGATTTTTTAATTATTATTTTACACTTTTTAAAATTTAATTGTTTTACGGTATTTCAGATGCTTGCCTTAAAAAGTCAAAACAACTTGCAATTGCAATAAAACATTTGTTTAATTAAATCAGCACTTTAATAATGGAATGTAATATTAAAGATTGCCTCCACAATGCTCATCTACCTCAAGAAATCTAATAACATGATATGATTTTAATGGCTGGGTTCGTTTAACATGAAATATTAGCCATTTTCCTTTGCCATACTTACGTGAGACTGTAGAGTTGACATGATGGAGGTGAAATAAGTTTTCAAAATAGAAAACATTGTGCAAAAAAATCTTAATTTCTAAATAAAGGATTCTCAAAGAGTATATGTTTTTTATGATTCAAACGTTTTTTATGATTGAAGCTGATTCAAAATTCAGCCTTACCGTCACAGGAATAAATTATATTTTGAAATAGTTTAAAATAGGAAACAGTTATTTTAAATTATTTTCAATTGTAATATTTCACAATATAACTCTTTTACTGTATTTTGGATGCAATAAATGGAGCCTTGATGAGAATAAAAGACATTTTAAGAAATGTTACCGACCCCAAACTTTTAAACACTATTGTATGATACAACTGAACATTCAACAATTGTGGGTACAAAAGAGGGTTATTAATTATCCACATTGATAAAGTGACATAATATAGAGTTTTGTTAAGTTAGGTCAAGCCTGCTGTCGTTATGCTGAGAGTGCTTAATGCTGCACTCTATTGAGAACAGGTTTAAAGTCTGTGAATGCCTTCTGCTGAGGTAGGCCATCTCACTGGCCCCTCTTTGCAGGGCCGCTCTCCTTTGTGTCACCCTACAATGGTGGCACGAGAGCGCAACTGTTGCCCAATATGCTTTGTTCATCAGCCAATGGGAGCAACCCAAAGAGAAGACTGTAGCAGTTTGTGTATGTATGTGTATGTATGCAGGTGTGTTTGTGTGTACGTTTTTGTGCACGTAAAAGGAGTGTGTTCACACATTGTCTTTTTCTTCTAACCCTGTTTTCTACTCCCTGACCGCATTAAAGGTGCGTCATTTAGCAGGCCAACCAATCAGAGGTCTGCTGTTTGAATTTATGCCAGGGATTTTTGGCTTGTGACACTTAAGTTGTGGTGGCAAAAGCCAGTATTTTCAATTCCTAAAAAAACACTGTCCCAGTGAGACAAGATGCCCTATACGCCATCTGGTTTTTTTTGCGACCGGTTAATCCGTGAAAGAGAGAGAAGAGATGGTGAAGGATCCCTGAGCAAACCCATCCATTTCAGTGGCCAGGACTACAATACCCTCAAGCAGGAGCATCTCCAGAAGAAGGGCCTTTTTGAGGATGAATCCTTCCCTGCCACTGTTGACTCCCTTGGCTTCAAAGAGCTGGGTCTCAAGTCCAACAAAGTCAAGAACATTGTCTGGAAGCGTCCCAAGGTAGGGGGCAGAGGGCCTATGTCGGTTTGATTGGACTGGGACTGTAATGAGTGGGATGTGGAAATGGCACATGGGATGGATGAAGCAGCTCAACTAATGGGACTTCCCTAAAAATGTATTTATTTGCTTGTAAATATACACATTCATGGGCAATGATAATGCTTACATGGCAAATGATTTCAGAGAGAATTTGGGTAAAACTGGGGCTAGCTATCACTTTTTTTAATGTATGTGTGAAGCCTGGTTTAAACACTTTTCCTTTGTGACAACAAAAGAATAGCATATTAATGGGTATTTGATGAGTTTTAGTAAAATTATTTATGAAGCACAAAGGAATTTATGAAATTCACAAATTAACATTTCTTATGCCAATCATTCCCAAATGTTTTTCAATTAACAACCAACCCCCTTTGACCAAAAATATTTCCTTGAAATACCGGCTGATGGTGTTAATAAAAGTTAATATTTTAATCATTTAACAACACATTTGCATGTTAACGGTAAAATCACATTGTGAAATATAAAGTCGAAATTGAGAGAAATAAAGTCAAATTTGTGAGTTATAAAATTGCAATTGCAAGAAAGAGTCACAATGAAATATAATTAAAAATTAAGAGAAATAAAAGTCACATTGTAAGATACAGTATAGTCACATTTGCGAGAAATAGACATTGTACACATTGTGAGGTATAAAATCAAATACACAAGAAATATTCATACTGGGAAAAATACAGTCACATTGTGGAATATAAAGTTGCAATTGCCAGAAAGAGTCATACTGTGAGATACTTGCAATTGCGAGAAATATTAACATTGTGAGCTATAAAGTTGCAATTACGAGAAATAGTCACATTGTGAGACAAAAAATCTCAAACGCGAAAAATAAATTCAGCTGTGAGATATAAAGTTGCAATTGCCTGAAATAAAGTCACATTGTGAGATAGTCACAATTACAAGAAATAGTCAAAATGTGAGATATAAAGTCACAATTAAGATAAATGAAAGTCACATTGTAACAGAGGTACAGTCGCATTTGCAAGAAATTATCACATTGTGAGATATGAAATTAAATTGACGAGAAATAAGTATACTGTGAAATAGTCGCAATTGCAAAAAATAGTCACATTGTGAGATATAGTCACATAACAAAAAATTGTCAAAATGTAAGATATAAAGTCACAATTAAGAGAAATGAAAGTCACATTGTAAGATACAATATAGTCGCATATGCGAGAAATTGTCACATTGTGAGATATTAAATAAAATTTACGAGAAATAAGTATACTGTGAAATAAAGTCGCAATTGCAAAAAATAATCACATTGTGGCATATAAAGCTGCAATTGCCAGAAAGAGTCACACTGTGAGATAAAGTTGCAATTGTGAGAAATATTAACATTGCGAGCTATAAAGTCACAATTACGAGAAATAGTCACATTGTGAGACAAAAAATCGCAAATGCGAAAATAAATTCATGCTGTCAGACATAAAGTCACATTGTGAGATATAAAGTCACAGTTATGATTAAAGTCACATTATAAGATACTTTATAAAGTTGAAATTGCGAGACAGTCATATTGTGATACATAAAGTCGCAGTTACAATAAATAGTCTGTGAAATATAGTTGCAATTACAAGTTACATCATGGGATATAAAGTTGCTAGAAATTGTCACATTGTGAGATAAAAAGTCATGATTGCAAGAAATAGTTGTTGTAAACTATAAAGTCGCAAATACGTAAAGCAGTCGCATTATGAGATAAAAAGTAACAAGTGCAAAAAATAAATTCACAATGTGGGATATAAATGAGCAATTGTGAGAAATAAAGTCACGTGAGAATATAAAGTCAGAATTGCGAGAAATAAAGTCACACTGTTAGATACAATATAAAGTAGCATTTAAGTAGTCACATTATGAGATAAAAAGTCACAATTTGTAAAAAATAGTCATATTGTAAGATATAATGTTGGAACTGAGAAATAAAATCACAATTTTGAGAAATAATCAAAATGTGAGATACAAAGCCATAATTATGAGAAATGAGAAAAGTCACATTGTAAGACGTTACATCATGGGATATAAAGTTGCTAGAAATTGTCACATTGTGAGATAAAAAGTCATGATTGCAAGAAATAGTTGTTGTAAACTATAAAGTCGCAAATACGTAAAGCAGTCGCATTATGAGATAAAAAGTAACAAGTGCAAAAAATAAATTCACAATGTGGGATATAAATGAGCAATTGTGAGAAATAAAGTCACGTGAGAATATAAAGTCAGAATTGCGAGAAATAAAGTCACACTGTTAGATACAATATAAAGTAGCATTTAAGTAGTCACATTATGAGATAAAAAGTCACAATTTGTAAAAAATAGTCATTGTAAGATATGTTGGAACTGAGAAATAAAATCACAATTTTGAGAAATAATCAAAATGTGAGATACAAAGCCATAATTATGAGAAATGAGAAAAGTCACATTGTAAGACAGAGTAAGTCACAATTGTGATAAATAAAGGTGCAATCATGATATATAAAGTCACAATTACAAGAAATTAAATTCACAAAGAAATACACTTTTACCATATTATTGTTATTATTATTTTTAATCTGAGGTGGAAACAGGTTTCCATACTTCTAACTTAAAACTTTGTGACAACTAGTCTGTCCATCCATTGATTCATCCATTCATTCAAAACATCAAAAATAATCAGAAACAGCATCAGTCTTCATATCTCTGAATCTGTGTGTAATATTTCAAAGCTCTTAATAACCAAATAAGCAAACTCTTTGATGATATGTGTCCTGCAGGAGATATGTGATAACCCACAGTTCATTGTCGGAGGTGCCAGCAGGACAGATATCTGCCAGGGAGACCTGGGTAAGATAACACTTTACCATATTAACACAATATGTTACAGACTGTTTACCTGATCATTGGGGAGTGTATTTAGGGTCACAACTTCATGGCAGTGAGCACCTCTCTTTGGCCCCCATAAGCAGACCTACAGTCCAGTGGGACCCCTCCATATTGTGTTTACTCTGTTGGAAGGGAATCCAGCTAGCAGCGCTTCCTATTGTTGTGACCCCACATGGGCAATAAAAGAGACCAAAGATACAAAGGTTGCTAATACATAGAGTAGATTACCAACTTGGCATGTTGCCCTGGACAGTCTAAAAATGCTGTGATCAGCAGTGTTTTACTGCAGATAGTACAATATATAAATTGTTTAAATATTGTTCAATATATAAATTCCCTATTGATGTGAGATATTATTTTCTGTTCATTTTAGGAGACTGCTGGTTGCTTGCAGCCATTGCATCCTTGACTCTGAACGACAAGCTGTTATATCGTATTGTACCTCAAGAACAGAGCTTCTCTGAAGGCTATGCTGGAATTTTCCATTTCCAGGTCAGTGACATTGAACAAAATAGCTTTTGATTTATATCTTCTTTAAATCTGATTTCGGTGTCTTCCTCACTCTGTTTTCCAACTCAGTTCTGGCATTATGGCGACTGGGTGGATGTCGTTGTCGATGACCGCATTCCCACCTTCAACAACCAGCTGGTGTTCACCAAATCAGCTGAAAGGAATGAATTCTGGAGCGCTCTGCTGGAAAAAGCTTATGCTAAGTAAGTATCTGTGCATGACATTTACTTCATCTATTTTGGAATTGGTCAGTCCTTCAAATTTAAAAGCTGGAACATCTTTTAAGATTTTATTGATGCAAAAATATATAAATGCATGGGCCATTTTGGGGAAACTGTGTGATTTGTACCTGAATATCATATTGTCCATACCCCCAATCCTAAAAATACAGTAACAGCTTGCAAAGTAGGTTTATGTAGTATCATTCACTTTAAGTTTGCCTTAATCAACAGCACATCACCTTTTGTGTCAACCCTGTTACATGAAGTGACCGTTAACACAGAACACGTTTTTTTTGTTTTGCATTGCATTGCACTGCGCTGCTTTACCTTTGTTTTTCTGTGTTAACATGCACTAGACAATGGAAGCCCATTTCCATTATATATAAAAAATATAAGATAAGGTTACGCTTTATTTTCAGGTAATATTATTAATGTGTAATAACACAGATAAGTACTGAGTAATTAATTAAACATAGATACTTAATATTGGGTTAAGTTTAGGGTAAGGGTTTGGTTTTGGATTAATTGCTTGTAATTATGCATAATTTACTATTATTACTATAGAAATAACACATTATTATTACTATAGTGTCACATTAAAATTGTTACCAAAGATAATTGCATTTTTTTTTTATCTCACAATTCAGACTTTTTTTGAAGTTTATAACACATTTCTGATATAATTTTGTCAGTCAAATTTATATCTTGTAATTTTGAATTAACATCCTCTAATTCTGACTTTTTAAATCAGAATTCTTAATTTATGCTTCTTTTAAGGGGTGCCTAATTTTTATAACCGAAATAATCTCTCTGTACCACAAAGTTCATATGTTCAATGTTTTGGTACGTTCCATTTCTTATTCATATTAATACACAAAATATATCACCTTTTACATTTACGAAATGCATGATAACATGCAGATTGAATGATTATCAGATGGAAGCAAACATTAGATAAAAATGCTGATATTTTAGTTTAAGCATCCTCAAAAAGCATAAACACAAATGGCACAAATTCCTGAGAATAATTCACAAATAGCTGATATTATTGTTTAGCACAATCAACACTGTTCTTGTGGTACTTTATTGGCATTTTTCTCTTTTCTTTTTTTAAACTAGATACTTAATATTGGGTTAAGTTTAGGGTAAGGGTTTGGTTTTGGATTAATTGCTTGTAATTATGCATAATTTACTATTATTACTATAGAAATAACACATTATTATTACTATAGTGTCACATTAAAATTGTTACCAAAGATAATTGCATTTTTTTTTTATCTCACAATTCAGACTTTTTTTGAAGTTTATAACACATTTCTGATATAATTTTGTCAGTCAAATTTATATCTTGTAATTTTGAATTAACATCCTCTAATTCTGACTTTTTAAATCAGAATTCTTAATTTATGCTTCTTTTAAGGGGTGCCTAATTTTTATAACCGAAATAATCTCTCTGTACCACAAAGTTCATATGTTCAATGTTTTGGTACGTTCCATTTCTTATTCATATTAATACACAAAATATATCACCTTTTACATTTACGAAATGCATGATAACATGCAGATTGAATGATTATCAGATGGAAACAAACATTAGATAAAAATGCTGATATTTTAGTTTAAGCGTCCTCAAAAAGCATAAACACAAATGGCACAAATTCCTGAGAATAATTCACAAATAGCTGATATTATTGTTTATTGATATTATAGTGTCACAATCAACACTGTTCTTGTGGTACTTTATTGGCATTTTTCTCTTTTCTTTTTTTAAACTAGCAAGTAGTAAGTAACAGCAGGAATTTATTATCATTAATTTGTGCACATAACACCTCAATAGAAAGAAGGGAGGTATACTCTTCCAACACTTTCACACTTACTTTATTTTTGCCAGTAAGTTGTCTCAATGTAATTTGTGTATTCCTATTAAGGCTTCATGGTTCCTATGAGGCTCTTAAAGGTGGAAACACTGCTGAGGCAATGGAGGACTTCACCGGTGGAGTGACTGAATTCTATGAGATGAAGGAGGCCCCCAAAGAGCTGTACAAGATCATGTTGAAAGCTCTGGAGAGAGGCTCCCTCATGGGCTGCTCCATTGATGTGAGTCAAGCAGAAGAAGGAAGCTTAATGACCTGCGTTTATGGATAATATTCTGCTGTTTTATTTTGAAACACTATTGATCGTAAACATTTTTTTAAATAAAAACAATAACTTTTGGTCCAAATCCTACCATAAAGCAATTTAATTTTTACCCACAGTCCCTGGTTCCAGCCCGCTTTGAAACTCGTACTACAACAGGACTTGTGAAGGGTCATGCCTACTCTGTTACTGCTGTAGAGGAGGTAAACCTTCTATTATTTGGTACTTTTATGATTATTTCTTTTTAGTGCTGGGCAACGATTAATCGCGATTAATCGCATCCAAAATAAAAGTTTTTGTTTATATAATATACTGTATGTGTGTGTACTGTGTATATTTATTATGTATATATAAATAATACACACACATACAGTCAATATTTTGAAAATATTTACATATGTATTTATATATTTTTTGCTTACACAATATATATGTGTATACTGTGCATATTTATTATGTGTATATATAAATACAAACACATGCATGTATATATTTATGAGAAATACGTTGTTTATATATTAAATATATTTATATATAATATAAAATATAAGAATATAATTATTAAATATGCATGTAAATATTTTCAAAATATATACTATATGTATGTGTGTGTATTTATATATACATAATAAATATACACAGTACACAAACATATATTATGTAAACAAAAACCTTTATTTTGGATGCGATTAATCGCGATCGCAGCATTAATTATATATAAATAAATTTTATATGTAAACATAACATATTTTTCTTAAATATATACATGCATGTGTGTGTATTTATATATACATTATATATATATACACACAGTACACACACATATATTATGTACACAAAAACGTTTATTTTGGATGCGATTAATCGGTGTCCAGCACTATTTCTTTTATGATAGTCGTGTTTCCAACTTAACTCTGAGAATGTCTGATGGTATTTGTGATATTTTGTGTCTGCAGTGTAAACAGTCCCAGCAGAAGGAGTCTAAAGTTCATCTGGTGCGTCTGCGTAACCCTTGGGGTCAGGTAGAATGGAATGGACCTTGGAGCGATAAGTGAGTATCTGCTTATTCCTGAATTTAAACCTGTTAAAGACTATAGTGCCGAGTGCATCAAATTTAATATGCATATTGCTAAGAAGACCTCTTAATTATTAACATGTTCAAAACCTGTTGCACACAATCTGTTGCATGCATTCTGTCATCTGATAGAAGCTTTGCTAAAAAGTTTATACTTTTTTAAATTCATTTTAGAATAATTGTTCATCTTCATGTTAAAAATGTCCATCTTCATGTCATGTACATGTGTCTTTTTTCTGTGAAATCTTTATAAAGATATATTAGGGTAAACATTAGAATACATTTTTATTTTGTTAGTAACATTTCACGATGAACACTTTATGGACTGAAGCAACTTGGATTTGCTTGAGTATCCATACATCTTTTTTTTTTTTCTCAATGTTGTAAAAAAAAATATAGAGATATATTTTTAAAAATATATATAAAAATGACAAAAACACACAACAAAATTTTAACAACTTTAACTAAAATTTAAATGTAAAATATAAAAATAAAAACATTCATAATATTAACAAAATCTATAATAATATTTCAGTTAATTTAAAATGTACTGTATGGAAATGTGTTCTGTATGGATGAGTTTAATTATTTATTATTTAGTTCATTATCATCAAAGACAAACAAATGTAGTCTTCTGAGGAATGTTTATTTGTATTTCTCTCAATAATCACTGTACTGTATGTATGTTTTTTATGTTAAATAAAAACTACAGAGCTTTTATTATAAAATTAAGCTTTTAAATATCATCTTACTAAGACATATTATTGGGAGATATAGAGTGACATCTTTATTTTATTTTTAGATTTTATTCAATAAACTCAAATAAACTTCAATAAACTCTAGTCAATAAACTTCCATTAAAAATGTCATTTGTTAGTCTTTACAGGGTTAAAAAGTAGATGTTAGTATACAGTTATTACAATCATTTATTTTTCTACTGCAGTTCAAAAGAGTGGGAAACCATCTCTAAAGGGGAAAAAGAGAAACTTCAGCAACAGAATGCTGAAGATGGAGAATTCTGGTGAGTTGAAACAAGCAAGCAATCATATCCTAATGATGAATTCTGAGAGTCATGTAGACAGTGTTGTGGTTACAAAATAAGGTCTTGACTCAGACTAGAATGAGCTGGTCTCGACTACAACACTGAGATTTTAAATAGTGCAAAAGCTGCTTGTAAAGGATATTTTGTCTTTATTCACTTCAAAATAAATAGAAATAGAAGAAGAGAAAAAGAGAAATAAAGTTGTAACTCTTGTTGTCAACCCGTAGGATGTCATTTGAGGATTTTAAGAAAAATTACACCAAAATTGAGATTTGCAACCTGACCCCTGATGCTCTGGAGGACAATAAATTACACAAATGGACAGTGTCTGTTAATGAGGGACGCTGGGTAAGAGGATGCTCCGCTGGAGGATGCAGGAATTATCCAGGTGGGTGTTATTTTAATGAATTGAAAATGAGCAAATCATTTATTTTATATTTTAATTACAATATTAATCTTACATTCAAATTGTATAGCAGCTTTCATTCATAAAAAAAAGGTTAAAAAAAAGAAAGAAAAAAAAAAATGAAGTCTGGCTTTAATATGATATGTGTGGCCTCCTATAGACACATTCTGGACAAATCCACAATACCGCCTGCGTCTCTTGGAGGAAGATGATGACCCGGAGGATGACGAAGTGGCTTGCACTTTTGTTGTTGCTCTAATGCAGAAAAACAGGCGTAAAGAACGCAAGTTGGGTGCAAATCTCTTCACTATTGGATTTTCCATCTACGAGGTATCAAACAGAGAATATAGAGATTGTGTTTTTATTCTGTCCTTAACAGCGTGAAATTATGCAAATAGCAGCATTCATCACACACAGAGATATTTATCTGCTTGATAATGCATCCAACACTCTTTTAACTCTTTCCATTTGTCCATAGGTTCCAAAGGAGGTATGGAAATGTGAAGATGAGAAATGTTTGGACTCGAGGCTTGAGGATATCACGCTGTTCATGCAGTGCTTTCTCTTCATTTGCACTTTTACTGGCATTTACCACTGCTTTATATTCCCTTTTTTTTGCTTCTGTGTTTCTCTGTCTGTCAGATGCACGGAAACAAGCAGCACATGCAGAAGGAGTTCTTCGTGTCTAGCACCTCTAAGGCTCGTTCCAGGGCCTACATTAACCTGCGCGAGTTGACCCAGCGTTTCCGCCTGAGCCCTGGGGAGTATGTCATCGTCCCCTCCACCTACGAGCCCCACCAGGAAGGCGAGTTCATCCTCCGCGTCTTCTCTGAAAAGAGAAATACGTCTGAGTGAGTGAGAGCAGAAGGGATGGGAGGGATGTACAATGATGTCTGAATACATTTTTCCTCACACTTTCATATTTTTTGTTTTTAAGTGAAATCACATTTTTTTTACTGGAAAACCAACAAAAAAAAAATGTTGGTTAAAGGGCATTTTTGGATTCCAATGCGCTGCTTTTTAATTGTTTGTTAATGTAAAAATGTGCTATACAGATAAGTTTTATATTTTTTGAAGTGGTCGACCGATATGGGTTTTTTGACAGCCATTTTAATTCCTTTGTTTAACAGTTCTATCTGATTATTAGATAGACTTCTATGCATATTAGACAGAACTGAACGACGACATTGCTCGAATGTGAGCACTGTGTTCAGGCGCTGGCGTTCACTCAGCACCGTCAAAATAATAGTCCCCGCCTCGAACACATCGGCCAACCTGAAAAACATATCGGCCGATGCCGATATTTGAAAAATGCCAAATATCGGCCGATATATCGGCCTTGGCGATATATCTGTCGACCACTAATTTTTTGTGCTCCCAGTTTGTGTCTCAGATACATTTTTTTCCATTTCAAAAACTCATTCTGTGTAAATGACCCCTGAAAACGTATGTATGGTTGCCCACTGAAGAACTTCTGAAACACCTGGTTTGAAACCAGCTGTTACAGAAGTTGATACTCATGTCAATTGGCTGCAAAAGCATTAAATGGCCGTTGTTTTATGTACAAAGGGGCATGGTTACATTATCACATGAATACCAAGGTAACGTCTTTGTTACCTGATCGAGTTCTCTATACAGAGGGGATGGGAAACAGTTGGGAAAATGGGTGGAAAAAACCACAAGGACGAAAATTTTAACGACAATTTGATTTGTAGAGCTGGAAGAAATCGGCCCCAGTTCGAGGCTGTAATGGAATCTTTTTTAGGACAAGCACCAGCACATTTTGGGACCCTCCGGTAAACATTTCCTTTCAGTTCTGACCCACTCTGAAGCACAATTAAACTTCAGCTGGACACACAAAGGACTGCCGAGGCTCTCCAAGGAATGCTGAAGAAGGACGAGGAATCCTAGTATTTTAACAAGGATCATGTCCAGTTTCTGGATGTGACCTAAATGTGTATTAACCACTGGCCTTGTGATAGTCATTGTAACCATTAATCAAACACCTCTCACCTTTTATAAAATTATACAGATAATTAGCTCTTAATGATACATTTAAGTAATTATATTTTAAGGATTACTCACACATGGTAAGTTTGAGTAATTCCTACAACAACAACAAAACAAGTATGGTTATATGGCTGATATAAGCAGAATAACAATTGATCATTTGGCAATCAAAAGTGGCTCAAAATACAGGAAAGACATACTGAAGTATAAGCTCAAATATGAAGGAAAACCTACATGATAACAGGCCCTCTGAAAGCTCTTTGATTACCTGTGCTGTTTACTGTGGTGACCAGTGTTTGTTGGTTTCTTCTCAGGGAGATAGAGAACAGGATTGAAGCTGATCATCCAGTGGTAAGTACTTGATCATCTACAAAGCATTTGAGTTCAACTAAGACGTGCCTTTATTACAAATAGTACCAAACTACTAACCCTAACTAAGTAGTACTTTGAACTCTTAAATGATCAGAGTGCATGTTTTTTTATGTTGCTAAATATCACTTATATGCATTATAAACATTTTTAGACCTGGATGAATTTGCTTTGATGTAGCAGCCATTACATCTGACATGCTAAAATTTGAAGAATTTTTTTTTTTAAGTAAATGAGTGTCTTCCACTCCGCCCACGTGTTTCTCCTTTACTGGCAGAAATTATGGGTGGTTCCAAAATATATGGTCACATGACAGAAAAAGTGTAAAGTACCCAAGATACAGGGGTGGGTCAACGTAACCACTCTCTCCTAAGAAAATAAATTAGAACATAAAACTAACTACAATTAATACAAGTTATAATTACTAGAGATGTGCATGAGTACTTCACGTAACACTATTGATCGATAATGTAAACAGTGATCGGTCATAATTATGTGTGACATTACTTTTTTTTGCTGAACTATAAACTCAGTAACAACTCTACAAAAATGAGTCAAATAGGGACCCCATTTAAATTTTTAGAATTAGGAAAAACTTCATATGAGCAGCCATACATAGGGTGCATTCTCTCTAGAGCAAGAAAAATGAAGCGCAATTAAATGCAACAAACAGGCTCTTTAAACATAACTATATGTGACCCTGGACCACAAAACCAGTCATAAGGGTCAATTTTTTGCGAAATTGAGATTTATACATATATAAATAAGCTGAATAAATAAGCTTTCCATTGATGTATGGTTAGGATGTTAGGATTGGACAATATTTGGCCGAGATACATCTAGTTGAAAATCTGGAAAAATATCAAAATATTGAGAAAAACGCCTTTAAAGTTGTCCAAATGAAGTTCTTAGCAATGCATATTACTAATCAAAAATAAATTTTTGATATATTTACGGTAGGAAATTTACAAAATATCTTCATGGAACATGATCTTTACTTAATATCCTAATGATTTTTGGCATAAAAGAAAAATCTATAATTTTGACCATACAATGTATTTTTGGCTATTGCTACAAATATACCCCAGCGACTTAAGACTGGTTTTGTGCTCCAGGGTCACATTTAAAATAAATACATAGAGCATTAAAAACATGAGGCCGAGTGCTATTTTCACAATTACATTGTGTGTACAAATATTATGGTTCTTACAGTAATATGTAGGCTAAAATCTGTTTAAACTTTTCAAGAATTGCTCTTTTATGAATTCATTAGAATTTTTCTTAAGAAATGTCAACTTCTTTCCTAAAAAGGTTTACATAAATCCAGCCCAAGAATATCATGGAGATTTGGAGTGGACTTAGGGTGAACTCTTTTGACTTGCAACCTTGCTCTAATGAAAACAACCCTGAACACTTTAGCAACCCTGTTGCAACCAATTGCCAAGCCTATTTCACACAAGCAATTTCGGCTGATTCTGTCATTTCTCAGTACTTTATTTGACTCTTATTTTGAAGGACAAAACTGTCCGAGTAAAATCTGCACTAATTATTGAGAATAAAGAATATACAATCTACTAGTGCTCATATTCTTTGGTTCAGTTCTCATGTGTGTATTTTACAACTCCTATGTCTGATCAGCCGGCTCCGGCTTCGACTGGGGAAGAGAGCGAGGAGGACCAGCAGTTCCTGTCTATTTTCCAGCAGATCGCGGGGGACGTGAGTACTGGGGAGCCACTGAGCGCTGGGGGGAGTGTGAGTATAGTGGTGGGGTGGGACCGGTAATTGGCCATGCCAGTGGTAACAGCCATATCCCGACAGTTTTATGTTGGCGTAACAAACACCACACCTGACTTTCTGTTTATTCTTGTCTTGCAGCTAATGGAGATCTCAGCTAATGAACTCAAAGATGTCTTGAACAAGGTGGTGTCTAAACGTACGTATCTTTGACTGATTATTACATTGAATGTTTGTGGTTTTTCTATATAATGTTTTCAAGAAAGACTCTGCTGTTTCCAGACAAGGACATACACACTGAGGGCTTCAGTCGAGAGAGCTGTAGAAGCATGATTGCCCTCATGGATGTATCCTTTGTATCAAGATTACATGATTTCTGTAAAGCCCCTTTAAAGGTATTGTCCAAAACATCTGTGGCTTTATTGTTTACATCAGCCAATATGTGGTTACAGCTTTGCAATGTTCCAATAGTTATTTATCGTTTTTAACGATAAGCCTTAGCTTAGCCCTAGAATGCTACATTATTTCAAACAAGTCGCTTAGGAATTCATATTCTCCCTAAAGTTAGGAATTTATGTTCTTATTAACAGAAATGTCAATCAATAGAAATGTCAATTCAGGTATTATCGCTAGTTTTGACATTTCTTTATCAAAAAATATTGTACCAACTCTGTTACGTATTGTTCGGAGATTAATATTACAGAAGGTCAGTGTAAAAATCAAATAATATTTCACCACACATTAATTGGTACTATTCTTTTGTGTTTTGACCTTTCTATTCACAATGAATCCAACATATCATGTTTTTTTAACAGATATATTAAGCAGCATAACTGTTTTCAACATTGATAATAATAAGAAATATTACTTGAGCATCAAATCCGCATATTATAATGATTTCTGAAGAATCAAGTGACACTGAAGAGTGGAGTAATGATGCTGAAAATTCAGCTTTGCATCACAGGAATAAATGACATCGAAACAGAAAACAGTTATTTTAAATTGTAATAATATTTCAGAATAGTACTGCTTTTACTGTATTTTTGATCAAATAAATGCAGCCTTGATTGACTTCTTTCAAAAACATTAAAAAAAAAATCTTACTGACACCAAATGTTTGAAAGGTGGCAGATATATGATGTCACTTCCTGGAACATGATGATAAATAACTAAAAGACGGAAATTTCACAGCATAACAGGGTGGAAAAGAAAGATATCAGTTTTATGTTTTTTGACGCATCTATTTTGATTCTGACAGTTTTCAAATAATAAATGTAACCTCTACCATTTACAGTAGCTTTAATTTCCTAGCAGATTGGCCATAGACAGTGTACAATACTGCATGCAAATCTTTCTTAACCCTAATCACACAGATGGACGGAAAAGGAAGAATTAATCTACAAGAGTTTAGACATTTGTGGAACAAAATCAAACAGTGGCAGGTTTGAAGTCTCCTCATTATTTCCTATATAAATGACAATACTACCTCTACTACTAATAATAAAAAGACTTACACTGACTTAAATTTTCTCCACAGGGAATCTTTAAGCAATATGACTTTGATCACACTGGCACTATCAGCAGCTACGAGATGAGAAACGCCATCAATGATGCAGGTTAGAAGGTTTTCATGTATTTCTACTGTTCATCTGTTCTCATATTGAAGAACATTTGTCTATCTCTCTAATGGTCTTGTCACTGTTCAGTCACGTGTTTTGTGTGCCACTCAGGGTTCCGTCTGAATAACCAGCTCTATGACATCATCACCATGCGCTACGCCAATGAAAACATGAATGTCGACTTTGACAGTTTTGTCAGCTGCCTTGTGCGACTGGAGGGGATGTTCAGTAAGTTGTAATCTTTTTCTTTAGCAAGTAGTACAACAAACAGGGTTACGCTTTCTTTTAAGGTGTCCTTGTTACAGTGTAATTATACATTTAAGTACTGAGTAATATTAATTAACTACATGTATTTACTATATGGTTAGGGTTTGGCTTAGGGTTTGGCTTAGGGTTACTGGGATGAAATTATGCATAATTTATTGTTATTATAATAGTAAGTACATGTAACTTGTGTAACAAGAACACATTAAAATAAAGTGTTACCACAAATAGTATATAGTAAATAGTACACTGTATCATTCTCAGGAAGTGGTGCCATTAAAACTGGAAAAAATATATTTTTAATAAATATTCTACATGATTTTGCATCTAAAATATTAATTTTGTCATAGTAATTATAGACTTTTTACAAGGCACAGTTGAATTGATAAATAATGCATTAAAAAGACAAAACCCACATTTGTATTTTAAAAATGTTGTCAACCCCGTTACATCTTCAGATTGAAGACATTACAAAAATGACAAAGTAGCGAGCAAATATCATTGTATCACACCACATTATTGGCATTTCCTGGAGCGACGGGACAAAAACATTAAAACCCATTATAAACGAGGCATTTGTTGCATCCAGTGGGGACATAATTACGGATTATAATGATTTATACTGTCTTTTTACGCGTTGCGTTGCGCAAACATAAAACCATGTCTGCATTTGTGATCTGAGAAATGACGAACAACAAGCGCTACTCTACACTGCTCAAAACTCGCGTTTGAATCATCAGTGGCAAATTCTTTAAATATAAAAAACGTACTTACAGTCTGTGAGTCAGAACAGCCGGCATTGTAGTCTACTCTCCCAGGATCAGGAAACAGTCCTCCATAAAATGCGCTGGAATATCTGAATATTTGGGTTGAACTGGTGTTTACAACAGTGTTGTAAATACAACTTAACCACTGATTTCTAGTCGTGTCCTCTTTTGGAAGGCCAAACAATGTAGTTTCGCTTTCACAACGAAACACATGGCGTCACACACGGCGGGCTTGAGTGGAGGCTGGCGGATTCAACGAAGGAGCGTCCGGCGGGCTTGCGGCAACCACATGTGACGACCCCGGGCTGGACTCCGCTTCGTCCACGGTGAAAGCCGATCCGGCGATCCACAGCGCGAAGTTGATGTATTTCCTCAGCGACCAGCACGGATCAGCTCCAGGCATGACGAAGCGGATATCGTCCTCTTTTGGAAGACCAAACAAAGTAGTTTCGCTTTCACAACAAAACACACAGCGTCTTCACGACATGGCGGCGGCGGCAACAACAATACTACAGCGAGAATAAAAGTTACGCCTTCTTTCTTTGCGTGAACATTTGGGCGGCGTTATGCAAATCTTCCCACATCGTGACATAGACATGTGGGGGTGTGTTAGAACGAGCCGTTTTAGGTAGGCGTGGTTGACTCTTAACTTTTATAAAGAATATCTCTTTGCATTTGAGACTTTAGTCTTTGCAACTTTACAGATCTTCTTTATGCACCAAGAGCTTGTAACACTCCAAAGAGAAAGGAAAAATGGAAATAGCATCATATGACCCCTTTAAATAAATAAATAAATAACGGAGCTCTGTGCATGACTCAAAAAAAAAATCTATATTGTGAAGAAAACTTCATTTGTGGCCAATTTTATTAATTAAATTAATGAATAACTAAATAAATTAAATGTATTAATTAGTTAAATAGTGGCCACTTTGTACTTAATTGTTGCCAAGTTCTGGCCTCGATGGAACAAACTACTACAATGCGGCAACAATTTAACTAAAACAAGGAAATCTCAGCATAACAGGGTTGAACAGAAAGCGTGGGGACAAAGAAAATGTACATATTTGTTCATAAAATGTTTCAGATTAGAACATTAGAACATTCTTTACAAACTAAAAGTCAGGGGGAACACATACAGAACCACTTCCTGCAAATGACCCAACAACACAGTATGTACAGTATGTAAACAACTAAAGATTTCAGTGCGTTCAGGTTGAAATTTCATGTTAATTTTTACCAACATTTGATTTAAGGCCTGTGTATGCTAAAATCATGCAACATACATGCGTACTGTCTGAAGTGAACCTGTTCTCATTGTAGGAGCATTCCAGGCCTTTGATCAAGGTGGAGATGGCACCATCAGACTTAATGTACTGGAGGTGAGGTGATCATTTAATGTTTAGCATCATGACGATGCCATTTAAAACTGTAAATTGGCTGATTGCAAAATGTTGAACTTAAGTGTTAAATTTCAATTTCTCCAGTGGCTTCAGCTAACCATGTACGCATAGACCAGCTACGGATCCAGGTGAGCCCGGACTCGGCAAGGACCAGAACTACCAGCTCTTACCTCAACACTCAATGTGCCAGACTACTGTTACCTCTTTCACTGTACCTCAGCCCACACTGAACACCAGCTGTGGAAACTTCACACATCATTACTCCTCCTCTTCATTTCAGTTTTATATGGGATGGCAAGAAGGGTGAAATGAGTGTTAGTGTTACAGACCGACGTCACATTTTTGAAGTCAGATTGCATAGGAAACGTTTTTGGGGGCGTAGCAACTTTTGAGGCATGTCGTAGTTGCTGGTTTTCTGTTGTAATTCATTCCTCAGAGTAGCTTTTTACATGAACTTCATTCAGTTTATCTACACTGGTGTCACAGTCAGCATTTCTCTTTTACCTCAACTAGCCTCAAAAGATGCTAATGTTTCAGATTTCCTTTTGCAATATGCTGATGGACCTAATATATAATTGATTATCTAATATTACATAACACTAAAAAGAAACAGATTCGAATTTTGACAGTATTGCACACTTATTACATTGTACACGCGATGCCTTACAATGAGAAAAACTACTTGAAATCTGGTCTGACCATTCACACTGAAACACAATCCAGATTAGTTTCCGATTTCACACCACATATGGATTAGGTTTGTGAAACTACATAAACAAACCTCAGAGTTTTCACTTGGGAAGTCTTATCGTCATATTACCACTCTTTCTGATTCAGATTTCTTAAAAAATGTCTTAACCATCTTTATCCAGATATGCACTACATACAGCCCCAGCCTCCCATTTTTAATTGGTAATAGCAAAATCCATTAAAAAGGACCATGTAGGTGGTCCTTATTGTTTCAAATCCTGGTTGTTTGTGAGACATTTATGTTTGTAAGTTAACATGAAGAACCAGGAAAAGACTATCAAAAACTACTAGAGGAGAATCATCAGGAAACATCTCCGATTTCATGATGGACGGCAACATTCAGGGTTTTTATTTCATTACTGTGGGTGTAGACATGGGTCGAACCTAGGCTTTTTTTTTTGTTGTTGTGCTTGACCCACATTTAACCTTTTGTTCAAATGAGTGTACTGACTTCAGCCGTTTAACAAAATAAATGTGTAGTTCTTGGATGAAGTGCTTTCCCAGGAGGAAACAAAGCCTAATTATTTACACAAGCATAAGTGGCAATTGCAAAATTAAATAAATGGAGAATTGTTTTCTTTTTTAAAGGCTCTGTAAAAGCTCTACAGTATGTAAGCAGTATATTTCACCATTTATCTCATATCTTGTTAGATTTTTTTTTCAGCCCTGTTACAAAATTTGAGTCTCGCCATTTAATAACCATGTAATTAGAATAGACATTAAACAAGCATATATTCCATAAATAAAAAAAGCTTTCTCGTGTTCGGTGTAGACACTGTGTTAAAAGAAGTTGTTATTGCTTTCAAAACATAATGGGGATGTAGCCTATTCATCCCAAGTGAAGTACTACACTGGATGGAATATAAACTCCATGAATCCAAATTTCCCCTTAGGATAAAAGAAATGCACACAGTGGCACAGTATATCTTTTTTTATTTCTTTTTGTTTCAATAGCATTTGTGTACAAAATGTCTATAAAGATTTTTAATGAACAAGTGTGAGAAACTTGGGAATACCAGGTAAGAGGTTGGCTGCAAATCTCTCCTCAGCAACACACGACTATAGCAAAAGAGCTGAGATGCATTTCAAACGTTATGACTTGGTGAAAAAACAAACTGAATTTATCCATTATGATAGAACTAAAAAACGGAAAAAAGTGACCATATATAGTTACAAATACAGCTCTTCAGGGGTAGTAAAATGTTCTATTTCAACATGAGAGACAGAGTACTGTTACTGTATATAAAATCTTACATCAGAAACATACAAAACCAAGTTAGGATATTAAGATGTTTGCAGTTTATGGTTACACTAAGTTTTGGTTTGTGTGTGCGTAACAGGGCTGAGCATTATAGGAAGTGACGTAATACACTACCAACTGCACAAAACACCTCCCATGTTTATCACCCCTACAACTTTCATTCTCACGCAGCAAAATAAAGGTACATTCCTGTGTGAGGACCCTCCTGGACTTGCATAAAACTACAAATCTCATTGGCACAAATGCCACAAAATACTGTGAAGGTAAAGAAAAAAAAAAAAACTTCTTCACTATAGAAAAAAAAAGGAAAATAAAATGATCTTGTCTTCTCGTTCACACTATCCCATAAAGCACATTCACAATTGTTCTCAACCAACTGCCACTTTACAGTCTCTGTCAACAGCACAGCAAACATTTTAACAGCAGACTTAAAGGGATAGTTCACCCAAAAATGAAAATTCTGTCATTAATTACTCACCCTCGTGTTGTTCCAAACCCGTAAGACCTTCGTTCATCTTCGGAACACAATTTAAGATATTTTTGATGAAATCTGAGGGCTCTCTGACCCTCCCATAGACGGCAAGGTAACTATCACGTTCAAGGTCCAGAAAAGTACCAACATGATCGACAAAGTAGTCCGTGTGACATCAGTGGTTCAACTGTAAAGTTACGAAGCTATGAAAATACTTTTTTGCGCAAAGAAAACAAAAATAACGACTTTATTCCACATTTTCGTCGCGTTCACGACAGCAGCATGACGCGAGCGTGTGGCGGCGCCGACCCAGATCATTACGTGATGATTGGAACAACACGAGGGTGAGTAATTAATGACAGAATTTTCATTTTTGGGTAGAACTAACCCTTTAAGAGTCACTGCGAACCTAAATCCTTCAACTTTACTTCACCATTGGTGAGCAATCACAGAAACCAAAAAAAAAACCAAACAAACAAAAAATTCTTAGAAATAGATAAAAAAAAAGAAAACCTAATAAAATCACCAGACACAACTTGACTAAAATTGATTTTTGTATTTGTAAACCATATTGAAATGTAAATGTCCCATAATAACAGACTGCTTTGACAGGTATTTAATACCATGCAATTGGAAAAATTGATTGACCTTGTCCTTCATAAAAGCCTGCAACGTTACAACACTAAAATCTGGTTGCTCGACACGACAAGTCTCATGCTTTCTGAATTCACTCCACATCAGAAGATCTGTAAAGTCATACGGCACACACAATAGTGAGCTACACGTGTTTGCTGAGGGAGCTGCCGCACCGGTACCCAAATGTTTCTCACAGTTTCTGTCTGTATTTGGTCAGTAAATCTCAGAGCTGACGATACGATACGGTGTATGATCAGATGAGAGACTTGGAGAAGCGTCTGATACAGTAATCAATCCTTTCCAGGAGAGTATCAGAGCAATGCCACGTCAGTATAAAAGAATTGAGCATATTTCACACTTCAGATAGAAGTGAAAGAGGAGGCACATGAAAAAAAAACCTCCCATCGTCAAAATACCAACAAATCAAATCCACTTATAGAGAAACGCTTTTCTTTTTGTTTGAAATTACAATAACACTTGTCTTTTTTTTTTTTTTTACTAAAAACCAATTTCTCAGAGCTTAAAATCAACCATCGTTTAAATTGTGGCATCAGTGGCAGTTTGTCGGTATCTGATGGATCGTATAAAAATATGCCCATGAACAAAGCTCCTCTGGTGAGGGCTGAATGAGACATTCCCAATATGGGAAAAGAGGAGACTATGTCTGTGCAATTGCCTTGGCCCCTCATGGCTCCATTTTACTGTCGTCCTCAGCATGTTTCTGCATGTGACAATGCACTGCCTACAAAGACAAGAGTCACATCAATGTTTAAAACAAATAAAAGAGATCAAAAATGTTATTTTATAATTTATACATAAAATCTCAAGTTTTATCTATATAAATAACTATACACACATAGACCCATTCAAAAGTTTGACTGAACGGATAAATAACGGAAAATAACGGTAATTTTCATTTGTTAGGCCCGTTAGAGGTGGAATTCTTTAGTGAAATAAAGTAGTGCCAAGATGATATTTATTTAAATGAATTTGAATGAATTAACAAGAGAGAGAGAGAGTGAAGCTTGCAAACAAGTGAAAGTTATCACGTCATTGCTAAGAAATATAATGTAGCTTCGGCGAAGCTGTTGTATTTATAAAATTCACGGGGCAGGGGTTGAAATCCAGCTCCTGCATGTGCAATTTCTTACTTAGCCTACATAAAGTTTCCATCTAAATAAAATGTGTTGCCCTCGCATTGGGAGTTCTGCGGGGATTCGGATATGTGTGTTTGGGGTTGAAAACCAGCTCCTGAATGTGCAATTTCTTACCTAGCCTACATAAAGTTTCCATCTAAATAAAATGCGAGCGCATGCACTGGCAAACGTGTTGCCCTCGCATTGGGAGTTCTGCGGGGATTCGGATATGTGTGTTTAGACGTAGGTCGGATGTCCAGATATCAGATATGTATCCGATTAAAATCCACATTTGGAAGTGGCTCAGATCGGATACGAAAAAATCAGATCTCGCGTGGATTTTTGTGTTTACACGCGTGCATCAAATTCCAATCTGTCAGATGTGGGCAAAAAAAATCAGATTTTTTCTGCCAGTGTAAATGCAGCCAAAACCATGTGTCATAAGTAGCACAGGTTTATTTGTAGCAATAGCCAACAATACATTGTATGGGTCAAAATTATCGATTTTTCTTTTATGCCAAAAATCATTAGGATATTAAGTAAAGTTCATGTTCCATGAAGATATTTTGTAAATTTCCTACCGTAAATATATCAAAACTTCATTTTTGATTAGTAATATGCATTGCTAAGAACTTCATTTGGACAACTTTAAAGGTAATTTTGTCAATATTTTGATTTTTTTTGCACCCTCAGATTCCAGATTTTCAAATAGTTGTATCTCGGCCAAATATTGTCCTATCATAACAAACCATACATCAATGGAAAGCTTATTTATTCAGCTTTTTGAGGTTTATACATCTCAATTTCAAAAAATTTACCCTTATGACTGGTGTTGTGGTCCAGGGTCACATATATCTCAACTGTCAGTTTTGATCAATTTAATGCAATTTTCTAAATTAATTTAATTCTTTCAAGAATAAAAAAATCTAACTGACCCCAAATTTGGAACAGTAGCCAAGGGTTTTGCTTAAAAAATGTTAAATTACAAATGTATTTATTTATTTGAATTATTATAACTTTGATCTTAAAAAGTTTAAACGTGTATATTTTTAAATTGTGACAACATAAAACCATGATAAAATAATAAATATCTTTTGTTGCATTAATGTAAAGAGAATTGGAAGGAAAAGGTGGCTAACCGTCATGAAAATATACCCGTCATTCTTTTTTCCAGTATTTTCTAGTTTCTGAAGCAGCAGCTTGAATAATTTATGACAAATGCATGCTTGATGGTAGCTTTAAGTATCAAACACAGAAAGCTGTCATTTGTGCACCAGCTGTGGTACATGTAGCAAAATATACAAATTCCTCGGGGTTTTCATGTGTGAAAGCGACATTCTGAGTGGCAGAGAGCTGCCGTACCTGTCTGCAGCCATTGCGGGTGGTGAAGAAGGTGTCGCAGTTCCTCCAGCGGCATTTGAATGCTTGCTGTGCTGGGCTGGTGTGGTCGTTCAGCAGGTGCTGCTGCAGGTGCTCCATCACGCCAAAGATCAGCGTACAACCGTACCACTGTGAGGAGGCAGGAAACACATTAACTGGCATCAGGAATCTCTTTCAGTCTGAGTCGGTCATGTCATGACCTCAGTTTCTTACCCAGCAGCGGTAGTTCTGAATCAGGTTCAATCTGACAGCTCTCACGCTCCCATCATAGCAGCCTGTGTAGATCTGCAACAGACAAACCACCACCAGCCTCGTTTTTAAAACCACTTACTTCAGTAATTAATGCTTGTAAATCTTTATGAAATCTGGTTTTGGATGCCAATAGGATGTTAAGAAGATGCGCTCACCATGCTCTTGTGGATGACCATACACATCACCATGTCTGAATGTCCACCATATACTTGAAGTCTGTCATGAGACTGGAAACACCAGAGATATGGTCAATATCACAAAAATAGTGAATCCATGAATGCAAGAAAATGGACCACTGATATTTTTTACATTAATTACATTAATTTCATTACAATTAAGTATTTGATCTCACAAATTTTCACTAACACGGTTTTGAAAAAAAAAATACTTGTTCACATTCTTATTACCATAATGTAATTTTTAAACGTTACAGTATTCATACAGCATAGTAATATTTCATGATTTTAATAAAAATATACCGTTTAATAACACCAGTTTTTAAAAAATATTATTTACGTAATAATATATTATTTATTTTTTATTTTTAG